CTCCTGAAGACTCAGACTAAATAGGTTCTATCCTTTCTATAAGAGGGACATGATGGGCTCAAGAATTCTTCCTTTACAATGTCAAGTCACAACTCTGACAACAGTGTTACCTCTGTTCCAAGGTCTGAGCCTATCTAGACACCTTCAAGTTCGCCATCTTCCCAGAGGTGCGGCTCTAAACGAGCCAACACAAAGATGAAGGTTTCTAATGCAAAAATTCTGTCCCATACTCTCGGTCTTGCCAGACACTATTTGATCCTATTAAAGAAATTCCACTTAAATGGCTGAGGATGAAAATCTTATTTTTCTTGTAGCAGGTACCTCAGGTAGGAGGATTTCTGTTCTAGGCACTTTTTCAGTCAAGCCTGAACTATGGGTTTTCCATAGAGACAAAAGGGTCATGAAGACAAATACTGCCTTTACACTGAAGGCAAATTCAACCTTCCACAGGTCCCAGAAAATTTTAGTCTTCTAACCCTAACCTGAATCCTAATCATCCGAAGGACAAACTGCAGCAGGCCTTGGAAGTAAGACGTACACTTAAAATCGATTCCTTATTCATCTTTATCTCTACACTGAATGAAGGAAGGAGGATGTCAATTTGGACATCGGCAGTACCCTTAAGACCTACATTATTGAAGCTTACGAAGCGCAATACTTGAAATACCATCTGGGATCACTGCATTCTCAGTTCGAAGTGCCATAACCAACACAGCCCTAACCAAACACGCCACAGTCAAAGAGATAGGCAAGGTGAACACATGGTCATCAATATCCACCTGTGTAGGGCACTCTAAGGTAAACTTCTAGGACTTGGCTGACACAGCTTCTGGAAGTGACTTACAATATACTCTAGATGACCCACCCAGTAAATGAGGACACTGCTCTGGGAGGTCCCAGCAAGATGTCCTCCACCTTGGAGGGAGAATGACCATTGGACACTTATCATGAAGGGTCCTTCTCCTCTGAGGAAAGGAGGACATCTTGTCCCTCCCAGAGTCATCGTCAAGTTAGTTATTCAGCAGGTACACTTCTTGTCTCACAAGTACTGTTTGCCTGTTTTTTCCTTATCTAGGTTGTCACTCTGTTCTTGTCTGTTTGTTCTCTTTCCTTGAATTGACTTTACAGTCTTACTGCTTTCGGAGTCACCAAAATTGAAGAGGGCGACTCCCACAGGCACGAGACAGGAAGTTAAAAAAATGTTCCTGCCTCCCTGATTGGATGGTGGGAATCATCCAGCAAGATGTCCTCCTTTCCTCAGAGGAAAGTGTCCAATGGTCATTCTATTGGGATTTTAAAGGCAAACCTCTGTTTGGATTATGCCCTAGTTAACAGGGTGAAGGAAAAGTAGGCCAGAACTGTCTGACTCTTCTTTCCAGGCACCCAAATGTCTTGGGTCAACCCTGCTTCTCCTTGGTATCTGAGATAATATCTAAGAGTTGGACAGGGTCCACCAGTAGACTAATGAACCTAGCTTACTGGAAGTGCCATGTCTGAACTTTATTTAACATCTATGAGATCTGGATAAGAGTCAGAGTGCAGAGAGCAAGCCTTTCTGAACTCATTCGCTATCCAGTACAGGAGCATTACTTGAAGTAAAGAAGTGATAATGTGAGCATTACCCCAACCCACTAACAATTTCATGTTTGGAGCACATTGCTCAATCAGAAAGATGGGGTGATATTCATGATAAATGGAACTTGTCCTTTACAACCTGGTGAGGCAGGAGTGTGGGTGCTGTGCCACCTGTTAATTTAGGCAATCAACTTACGAGCTGCCTCTTGTGTTTGCAAAGCTGTTGAGAATTCCTAGACAGGTTGATGCTGACTTCATTATGTGGCCGCCCATAGATACAGCTGATTGGATTAAGTCACCCTTTTAGGTGTTTGAGTATGCAAGCTTGAGAGAGTCCACAGCTTGGTTTGCTTGCTGAAAGTCCCAGATTTAGTCTGTGGCATCTTCAATTAAAAACGATACCAGCTTGAGTCTGCCTCTCCTTGGAGAGTTAACTTAAACAAGGTCATACCGTGCAAAAATATGTGATAAAAACTCATAATTATAAAGGTTATATGTCCTTTATGATAAAAACTCATATAATTATAAAGGTTATATGTCCTTTATTCCCAGATATAACAGGAAGTATAAATAAGATATAATACACGTGCAACTACATATACAAAGTCAAAATTCAATCTCTAAGATGTCCATTCCAGACGCTTGAAAATTCTGACATAGGAAAACTTTTTCAAACAATTATCCTGCTGTGTAAGAAAGTTTGCTTCCTCCCGACTTCATTAGGGTGATGAAGCTTGTAGCAAGTAAGGATCCACACCCAACAAACTATCAATAAAACTTGTTTCACAACTCTCTTTCTCAAGAGCTAATGATCCTTTTTGTTGAAGCTGATGATCCTTCTACAAACGAAATCAATTTTCACAAGTAATAAGGTACATTAATGACGGAACACAACTGCCTCCAGGTTCGAGTTTTTCAGTACTGAGTCATTCCCACAACAGGCTCAGCATTCTTTTGGAGAGCTGCAGTTACAGTAGATAATACTGGACCAATTCTCTGCAGTGATTTTTCCTGAGCTGATGATTGTAACTCCACATAAGACAGCTTCATGTGGAGGCTATGTTAGGAATGGTTCCTGAATCAAGGCTTAGTTCACGCACTGTTCCTGTCTGCACTGTGAAGTGTTGACTTGCATGTCTGAATGGCACGATACATACTACTTGCAATCTTTTCAGTGGAACAGAATCACACACTCCGTTGGGAAATCAAGCTATGTATGCAGATGTGAATCAGACTTTAGATTCTCTTTTTAAAAAAGCAACCACCAAAACATTGCTCTGTATTTTGGAATTCTAATTCAAGACGGACCATTTGGTGGAAGCGGAGTAAGCACTCTACACATGCTCTTTGGAACTCTGTTTCTTTATGATCAGCTCTCATGTTCTGGGGTGAGATTTGGCATTAGAAAATTGTGAAAGGGTCCTCTACAGATGGGCAGTAAAATGACTTGCACCAGGACACTGTTTAAGTTTAAAACAAAACAAGGTTCCTTAGTGGAAAAACTTGTATCCAAGCCGATTCTTGGAACCAAAGTAGCTGGTTTTCCAACTGGCCTTGGCCTGATAGAAGAAGGATGTTTATAGAAAGGCAAACATTGGCCTCTTATCTCAGATTCTAGCACCAAGGTAAAGTGGCCATATAAGAGGCCAAGAAGGGGAACACTGAAGCTCTGGCTGCTCTGCTGTGCAGACAAAATGAACCTCGCCCTTTCCCTTCTGGCACTGGGTAAGTTATGATTATCAAGGCACAGTGGAACTGAGGAGACCACCCTGGTTAAGAACAGAAAGTGTTTCCATTGCTGTGGTGCTGCAAAAACATGGAAGGAACTCTCTTAAGGACCCCGTTTGTGTGCCTGGTTCAAATGATGAGAGGTGCCCTTCGTTGCTCTTCCCTTCCTCCAGTTATGGGACTTCCCACTCTGTAGGGTTACCAAAGTCCAAGCCTGAGATCATGCTGGAAGTGCTGCAAGGCTACCTGGGATTGTTCCTTGGTACCCAGAGTTGAGAAAGGGTGGAGACATTTAAATGTTGGAAGAAACATTGTGGGGGGGGAGGGTGCATGCACATGTGCTTCTTTGCCAGTTTGGTGTAGTGGTTAAGTGTGCGGACTCTAATCTGGGAGAACCGGGTTTGATTCCCCACTCCTCCACTTGCACCTGCTGATGTGACCTTGGGTCAGTCACAAGTTCTGGCACAGCTGTTCTTGAAAAAGAGCAGTTTCTGGCAGAGTTCTCTCAGCCCCACCCACCTCACAGGGTGTCTGTTTTGGGGAGGGGAAGGGAAAGGAGTTTGTAAGCCGCTCTGAGACTCCAAGTGAAGGGCGGGATATAAATCCAATCTCTTCTTCTTATCTATACTGAACCTACAGAATGGGATGGGTTATAAATCATATATGCATCAATAGCGTACTGTTAGCTTAAATGTGCAGCCATATGGAGAAACAATTGTATAAGCATTGGTATTCAACGACTGAAACCAGGAAAGGACCTTTATTTTTTACCACATGTGAACCTTAGAACACTGGTTCTTAACCTTTTTGGCATGGTGCCACACAAGTCCAAATTCACTGCATATGGTGACCCATCCAGGGCTACCCTAAGGTTTTCCGGTGCCCAAGACAAACTATGACCTTGGCACCAGTCTATTCCAGCATCACACCCAATCAGGTGTATTTGAGAATATATTTAAAGGGGGGGGGAGTAGCCCAATTAGGCTGCTAAGTGAAGGCATGATAGAAGTTTAGAGAATAATGCCTGGGATACAGAAAGTGGATATGAGGAGCTTATTTTCTCCCTCTCCCATAATACTAGAACCTGGGGGGCACCCAATGGAAATTGTTAGGAAATAAGTTCAGAACAGACAAAAGGAAATACTTTTTTACTCAATGAGTAAACTGTGGAATCCACTGTCAGTGAATGGCCACTAGCATAGAAAAAAGGAAGGGGTAGGCCGCTTCAAAGAGGAGTGGTCCATCAGTGGCTACTCCTCTTTGGGGAATCTACCTCTACAGAGGCAGCAAACCTATGAATACCAGAGGCAGTGTCAAGGCTCTCTATGCTCTTGGCCTCTATGCTCTGTTTGTTTTGCCCTCTAGGACAACTGATTGGCAGCTGTGTGAAAACGTACACTGGAACAGATAGACTACTGGTCTGATCCAGTAGGCTCTATTTATGTTGTTCTGATGTTCTGCAAGAAATGAATGAAACATGGGCTACTGTCAGCCCAAGGCTCTAAGCCTGCAGTCTTCCAACTGGGAGGTTTTTGCAGAGTTGTGTTGTACAGAAATATGGACTGTCTTGCTGGGGGGCTAATTCTTAATAATTCTTTCTACATATAAGAATGGAGCTCTTGAGAGTTAAATAATGGCGTATACTTCCTATTATAATTCAGAAGAAAACCTAGAAATTTGGGGAAACCCTAAGTCAGGTTCTCACTTGATAATCTTTTTCCTTCTCTCTCTGTCTCAGTGGGCATAGTTGGTGTGTCCAATGCTGCTAGTCCCCGGAATTTATGGCAGTTCCGCAACATGATCAAATGCACCATCCCACACAGTGACCCACTGAAGGATTACAACAACTATGGCTGCTATTGTGGCTTAGGGGGCAGTGGGACGCCAATGGATGAGCTAGACACGTAAGCAAGTCCTTTATACCTACTACCTTGAGCCCCACCCCACCCCAAATCGCCCTCCAAGCATCCCTTTAGGCTGTTTTCATTTAAGTCAACAGATATTGTTAACATTATTTTGAAAAAAGTCCAAAGGAGATAGGACGAAAATTGATGTAAAAAGTTAGCTTCTAATTCCAACAGTAATAAACAGTTACTGGAAATGTCTAAGATGACACATCCATAGAGGAGAAGTCTATTAGGCATGACATCAAAATGGATTCTCACTAGGAATCAACTGAGTCAATCAAATCAACAGGATGGGGCATTCAGTAAACAAATAAATAGATGGTTTCATTCTGCAAAGCAGTGTAGAAGTTCTTCTACAGATCAGGGAATCACTCTGAATGGTTTCTCTTTCCTGAGCAGATGCTGTCAGATTCATGACAACTGCTATTCTGCGGCCAAGAAGCACCCCAAGTGTAAATTCATTCTGGACAACCCCTACACGGAGTTCTATTCCTACAGCTGCTCTGGCAATAACATCACTTGCAGTGGTAAATGCACCTCCATGCTATGCTTAGCTGCAGTGGGAACCCCATTGCTCACTCAGCTCTGTAACACAACACATGTATGCTTTGTACACAAAGGATCCAGGTTTAATCAGTTAAAGAATCTCAGGTTACAGGGTTGGAAAGGGGTCCCAGATGCCACTGGCTGCAGAACACAGCGTCACTCTTCAGTGGGAGCCGATGGGTTCTATGTCTTCCCTTCAGCTTTCTGGGGAGGGGATGAGGCGGGGGCTGCCTGAAGCACAGAGAACATAAGCATTCCTCGTGGGCAGGCACTGTTTGAATGAAACCCTGCAGGATCTAAGAGGTGCCTGTCCGTACTTCTGGCTTCCCAACAACATGCGCTTTTACTTATACTGGTTGCTGCTAGTGATGTTTCGGAAACCTGGCGGTGACCTTTAAAGCCCTTCACAACCTGGGCCCCACATATTTGAAGGACTATCTCCTTCCACATGTCCCTGTGCACCAGCTAGTCTTCAGACAGCCATCTGTTGGCTAGCCTACCACTTAGGGTGGCCCCTACGGCATCAACCAGAGCCCAGGTCTTTCCATCGCGGCTCCTACTCTGTGTCCAGCAAGCCCTCCTTGGAGATCTTCAGGGGGAGCTGCAAGGCTTGCTTGTTTGGCAGAGCTTTTGAGGGGGATTGAGTGGCAGGCATCCTTGGGGGGGGGCAGAGGAAGAGATTTGGGGTGTGTTATTTCCCCCCTGAAAATGTTTATAACTATTGAACCACAAAGAAAGGCAGAATATAAATGTTTTAATAAATAATGATTTAACGTGTCTGACCCTTCACACAGAAGGATGACAGGCAGTGGGGAAGGTGTGGCCTGTTACAGAATGCCAGCCTAGCAAAGTGCTAGCTTAGAAAATGTCCAGGTATTACCGGGTGTGATCTGAAATGCTGAGAGGGGTGTGATTTTTACAGGGCTCTGTTTCTAAAAGGGGGGGGGGGCTGGGATCAGTGTTCCCTCTAAGCTGAGTTAGTGTGAGCCAGCTCACAGTTTCTTAGCCTCCGGCTCACAGATTTTTGTCTCAGCTCAGGAAGGGACGGCTCCAGAGCAGACTGATTTATGCAGCAGCCCAATCGCTCGCTCACAATTTTAATGCCAGTAGCTCACAAAGTAGAATTTTTGCTCACAAGACTCCACAGCTTACAGGGAACATTGGCTGGGATCTGTGTTTCTAATCTCCCCTTCTCTCTCCAGAGAAGAACAATGAATGTGAGGCGTTCATCTGTGCCTGCGATCGCGCAGCCGCCATCTGTTTCTCAGGGGCTCCCTACAACCCGGACTACAAGAATATGAACACTGGCAGAGACTGCAAGTGAAGTTCGGGCGGTCTCAGCCACGCAGAAGCCCTTCTGTGCGCCCCTCGCCAGGGTCTCCCAAGCAGCATTGATTTGTGGCCAACAGGAAAGGAGGAGGAGGCCCGGATTAAAAGGGAAACTAGTTAAACAAATTCGTTGCCCGAGTAATAAAATGTGGCATCAAAACCTGTCAACTTTTTTCCCCTTCCCTTTTTGGGTCGTGGGTGGGTAAAAGGCGAAGCATCTCTTACTTCCCACAACTCCTGGCTCTCCCCAGGGGAACAGAGGGCAAGGAACTGCATTCCTACGCGTGTTCTGAAAAGAAGGGAGGGAAGGCTCCGGAGTCGCAAAGCTGTGCGACGCGGCTTTGCCCCATTCTCTTGTCACGAATGCTTGGGGGGCAGGGTCGGGAAACCTCCCTTGGCCTTGCAATCGCACTGTACGGAACAAGAATCCCACGGGGCAAGAAGGAGAACCCCAGGAGGACCCCAGCGCTTTCTCCAGCCTCCCCCCTCCTCGGGCTCCGGCCTTTGCTTACGCCACAATGTGGGTGGCCCTACAGCGCTGCGGGAAAGGGAGGTGGGCACGAGAAGCAACAGCGCCGGGCATGAAGCAAGGACTCGCCCACCAGCACAGTCCGGGGAAACGTAAGCCACGCCCCCACTCTCTTCTGGGAATAGGGCAGAAGCCACACCCTTCAGCTCCCCCAAGCCCCGCCTACTTCCGGGGACAGCACCGAACACCTTCGTTATATTTCCATTTGCTGGGATTGATTTCCGTCTCAGCATCAGGCGGTGACAGAGTTGAGGCGTAGTCGTGAGAGCGCTTGGAACGCGTACAGGGGCTTTTCCTACTTGCATAGTGTCTAGTAGTTAGATCTGGAACACACACGCATGGGATGTATATGTGGGATTATCAGTTTTTGATGATTAGAAGATGCAATTACTAGGCTCAATTTTGAGTAGGGTTCCCACAACCCCCAGGCGGTGGCTGGAGATCTCCTGCTATTACAGTTTATCTCCGGGCAACACAGAGCAGTTCACGTGGAGAAAACGGCTACTGTGGGAGGTGGACTCTATAGCATTATACCCCATTAAAATCTCTCCCCTCCCCAAAACCCCACTCTCCCCTAAACCTCCAGGTATTTCCAATCCCAGAGTTGACAGCTCTGAGGGAAGGGCACTCTAAACCATTTCAAAGGAACCTCTCTCTTAAATTGTTACTTTACCGAACACTGTCCTGATGTGTCATGAGAATAACGCCTCCTGCCTTTGTTGTCAAGGGGCAAAAATACTGAAGGGTAAACGGTGTGGTTGCCAAGTGGAGAGAGCAGTGGCCCCTCTTTTATAAGATACTAAACACAGTCCTTGAAGAGTGACTGCTAATGAAACAGTTGGCTTTCTAGACTGGCTTCTCAGCAATGGCCATTTATGGGGCAATTGCTATACCACTGCTTATGGGACTATTACTAAGCAAAACACTCCATTCCCTCACACCTTTCTGCAATCCTAACTGGCCCAATTGTTAGTGCCAATATGTACCAGTTGAGTGCCATGGCTTTCCTCAAAAGTTGCCAGGGGTTGTAAAGCTGAAAATTCTCTAGTTACTGATCTTCCATTTACTTTCAGCAGATTTGTGACTAGATCCTATGGATATTCAAAGTAAGTCTCCCTCTGTTAAAAAGTGGCACCTTAAAGACTAATGAAATAAGTTTTTGTGGACTACAACCCACGTTGTGACAAAGTGGTTTATGCTGGAATAAAGTTGCATTAGTCTTTAAATTGTCACTAGACTCCTGTTTACATTGGGTGGAAGTAGTAAAAACGTGCTTTGAGACTGCAGCCTTTCTTTTTCATAAGAACATAACTTAAGTAGAGCCTGCTGGATCAGACCTAGAGTTGATCTAGCCCAGTGTACTGTTTCACACAGCAGCCAATGAGTTGCCCCAGAGATCCAAACAAGCAGGGCACAGAGGCCATGACTTTCCCCTGATGTTGCCTCCTAGCATTGAATTTCAGAGGTTTACTGCTTCTGAATATGGAGGATTCCTTTACTCACCATGGCTAGTATATGGTGTATAAATCTGTCTAACCTCTTTTTAAAGCTGTCTATGCTCATGGCCATCACTACTTCCACTGGCAGTGAATTCCATAGATTAATTGCTCATTGAGTAAAGAAATATTTCCTTTTGTCTGTCCTGAATCTATTTTCCAACAATTTAATTGGATGACCCCAAGTTCTAGTAGTATGGGAAAAGGGAGAGTTGCCCATTCACCCGATTTAAAGAGATCCTCCTGTAGCTCTTCACAGTCCACCTTGGTTTTCACCATCATGACTTTTTGTGTGTGTGTTTAAATAAATTTATTCAATTACCACCGACCCCACAAACTTTACCAATTCATCTCCAGTTCTATAAATAGTATAGGCATCTGTGTTAGTTTGAAGCAGCAGAACAAATTTTGAGTCCAGAGGCACCTTTAAGACCAACTTCAGAAGTAGTAGTAGTAGTAGTAGTAGTAGTAGTAGTAGAATTTATTGTGTAGCCATTGGCCATTACAATTTAAAACAATATACAAATTAGACAACTTACAGCACTGGAATTAGAATTAGATTTAAAATATAATAACCTCTAAAAATCTGCACATTTAGTATTTAAATTAATTAAAATCTTAAATACAGATACCCATCTCCAGAAACACATACACAGCCTCAAACATTGCCATTTTACTGTTCAATTTCATTTTCCTATGTTCTTGGCCCTCAAACATTGCCATTTTACTGTTCAATTTCATTTTCCTATGTTCTTGGCCCTGATTTTACTAGCCGCTAAGGCGAAGAGTGCTACCCTATAGGAAACTGTAGGGTCTGCGTCTGACAGCAGAAATATTAATTTATCGGTGTCAGAAAATGTTTGCAATTGATCTATTATTGCGGTCAAGAATTTACACCTCGGTTCCCAGTACTTCAGAAGAAGTGTGCATGCACACAAAGGCTTGTACCTTGAATAAACCTTTGTTGGTCTTAAAGGTGCCACTGGACTCAAAAGATAGTATAGGTGTTATTAAATTAATTTCACCATGCGAGTCAAAATAACTGTCCATTTATCAAACTTATCCAGTTTCTTATCATGCGACATGTAGGTTAGTTCACTCAACTGTACACATTTCTTTAATTTCTCCAGCCACTCCTCTTTATTTGGAGTTACATTCCTTTTCCAGTATCTAGTAAAAAGTAATATTGTAGAAGGTATGGCATTTGAAACAAATTCTTGAGTGTCTTCAGAAAGGAAGTCTACATGATTCAACCCAAAACACATCTAGTGAGAAGGGTAAGTCTTCTCTTTACCTATTCCTTGAGAAATAATTCTAAAAATAATTTTCCAGTATTCTTTGGCTCCACATATCCATCACATGTTGTATAAAGGTGGTGTTAGCAACTCCACAAAACATCCTGAACTATTTATTATAATTTATGAAAGCAACAGGATGGGACCAAACGCTGCAAATTGGTAAGATCACCGGCTGTCTTGTACCTGACCATTCTCTGTGGAGTCTCATACCTGGTGGAATGGCCTGCTTCACAAAGCCTCCCATGCTTTTAGGCTAGCATTCCTCAAAACATGAATTGTTCAGAAGGGCATTTATATGAAGGACGTAGGGTGATAGTACAAAGGGAAATGTTCATTAAAATGAAATTGTTTATTGGATGCATTCTCTTGTTTTATTTCAGTGTTCTCTGCTTTTGTAATCCACTTTTATCGTACTATTTGTTATATGTATTCTACTGGTCTTTGTTGCATTATTGTCTAATTCTGTAATCCTCTTTGATTCTCAGTGAGAAAAGTAGATTAGAAATTAAGTGACTACATAAATTCGATAAGGCTTGCACCGGAGGACTTCTCTGTTGATTAGGCCCTGTGCTAGTTAATTGAAGGGGGTAATTTTCTGAATTATAGGCTGTTCTGTAATTCTGGTCCCTTTCCTCCCCCTTCACTCACTTTTCTTGCTGCATGTAGGATGGAGGCCCTGGATGAATTTGACAACGAATATCCACTCATCATAACTTTCTGTGAGCGGATCTCCCCCCAGGACTTTGAGAAACAGTCTTTGAGTTATACTCAGAAATCTCTGCAGGATCTCTATACCCAAATGGAGCAGAATCCCAGAATCTGTGAGAGGATCCTACGCAAGAGGAAGCAGATGGAGAACGAAGAAGCTGGTGTGGTACAATATCTGAAGGTAACCTGGGGCTTAGCAAGATGACCAACAAAGAGAGCTGATCAGCACAAAAGTGGGACCTCCAAATCTTTATATGCAGGAATCAGTTGGTGACATTTTGCATGGAAAGAGAAGCTGCTGCGAAAGGCATAGAAGCAGAAAGCAGTAAAAAGATTGGCAGCCCTACATGGGCCAGATCTCTCCACTGTGGCACAGTGGGTCATATACAGAAATAACTCAGGGATCCATCCAAGCTCAGTATTCTAGCCGCCTCTGCATCACTCTGGCTAGCAAGCATCTTTGGCTTGCTTAGATTATTTGGAGC